TCATCAGAGCTAAACAACAAAAGAAATCTGAAGCTTATATATTAAATAGTTTTTGAGCTATAACCATTTTTGTATGTCCAGATAACCATTTTTGGGGGCACTGATTGGTGGGCCTGATGGATAGAGCTTCATCAGAGCTAAACAACAAAAGAAATCTGAAGCTTCTATGTTGAACAGTTTCTGAGTTATAAGCATTTTTGCATGTCCTGACACCCCGTCTTTGAAAGGAGCCCCCTCCTCAAATATGCGGCTATCGTAAAACCATGGCGCAGTGTAGATCAGACTCATCTACAGCCCTGCCAAATTTCATGTTGACCCGTGCAGCCGTTTTTGTGCTACAGTTGACCAAAAATCACTGAAAAAAAAAAAAAAAGTACAAAAACAATATGACTCCCTCTTACGCTTTGCGTGCGGGGGTCATAATAAACTACATACCCCATAACGGTAGCATATATGATCCCCGCACATATGCAAAACACTCATGCACCAGAACTTTGTGTTGCGACTGTTTAAGTAAGATGTTCTGATATTTATATGAGAAGTGACTTTGGAATAGTCATTACAAATAAAATGTTTTGTTGATGGAAAACAAAAAAGCAAATCTGTCTATTTGAGTAGAGTGATAATGAAACAAACTATGCATCACTTGCATGATGTCATTTATATACTAATCTACTATGTAACTGTTCTGTAGATGCTTTACAGACATAGAAATGAGTGGAAGCCATTTTGGGTGGAGTTAATGAACATGCTTATGGGGCTGTTGGACTCTTGGTGTAGGTCAGATAGGACATCTGTGCCAAATTCAATCAAGAAATGATATGTTTATAGATGTACAGTCTTCAAATAACAATTTTCAGTCGTGCATTTTGATTCTTTTGTAGGTGAACATTGCATAGAAACACATAAAGATGCCATGAAACAATAGGTCTTCATCAGAGCTAAACAGCAACAAAAACATGAAGTTCTTATGTTGACGAGTTTTGGAGATATATGCAATTTTGGATGTCCAGAACCCAACTTTTCAAATAGCACCCCAACTTATGGGGTCTATCACAAAACTGTTTGCTAGCTAAGTGTAGGTCGGCCACTTCTATAATTTCTACCAGTGGGGGTCATATAAATGTATAAGGGGAATGGGGGAATAAAAAGATAACAGGATGAAATTATTTGGATGCTGAGAGAAAYGTCCTCAGTCATTTTACCTGTTAGTGATGAAGATCAGAACAGTGATGACTAGAGCAAAGAGGGAAATGCTGCAGCCAATAATAGTAATGTACGACAAAATCTTCTGGTCTGTAGGTGAGAGGATTGTAGATACCTGTGGAGAAAATACCATTTCACATTTTGTTCAAATTTAAGCAGTTTTAACGTGGCATATGACTTTGTTATGTTAGAATAAAAAGTGTGTACAAATATCTTTTGTCCTTTTTAACTCATTTATCTTTGATTTCTACAACAACTTGTGGGTTTTGTATTTGAAACACCCACAAAGCTCTCACCAATCACAATGATCTCTGCATACCTCTGTGAGAACAAATTCTGAATGGGGGCAATGCACAAGGGCTTAGTGGGCGGTAAGAAAACTGTGCAATTTTTGTCATGCACTAAAATCAGTGAGACACACGAACGGAGCTTTTCATTGACCCTTAATCAGCTTTCATGGTGCAGGTTACTGAGAACATGAATGAGCTGTGGACTGTATGCTAAAATATCACGTCAGAATAAACACATTTCAAGAGAAGAGAAGATAAAGAGTTACTCCCTTCATTCCTTTGTTGCTTGTTTTTACTTTGTCTCCTACAGTCTCCTCTGCTCAAGAAAGCGGGTCAGAACCAGCACCCTCTTACCCAGGCCTACAGAGGACTGATATAGATTATTCTAACTTCAGACATCACTGTCTGTTTTGAGGACACCAGACAGGCAGAGAGAAAGTCTCTGCAAAGTGTAATGACTGTGGAGAGGATGGATGGGACAACACATCTTTACATGGAATCTATGTATGTACAGCACTGTTGAAAAAGGGCAGAGGTAAATGTCAAGGACTCCCTCCATCCAGCTCACTCTCTACTCAGATACTAAACCTGTACAAAACAAAAGTATTGAACAGGTGCAAAAATAATCCTACACTATCTAATTTCATGTGCCAGATAAAAAGTGAAGGTGTAGATTGCACTAGCTGTCAGTGTAAATATAGTGTATGGCATTTTATTGTTCCCATTTATTCTGTGTTTTTAGTGTTATACAACATGTTTGTATATGACTCTGAGAACAAGAACTCTAATGTACCTGGACAGCTGGTTAATGCACAAAAGGCACATAGGATTCTTTGAATCTTTGTATGCTTGTAAAGTGCACTAAGAATAAAGTGTTATTCCTACCAAGAGCACACCAAAGTATGTGAGACGGTTACAGGAGCAGGTGATTTCATTCCCATTACGATCCCACAGGGTCAGACATCCMTCTGTCATAAACACTGGTAAATCAAACAGACAGACTTGTTGTGATCATGATGCTGTCACATGACATCAGCTCACTGTGCTGTTGAATATAAAGACACTGAACCACATTTGTCTTTTATGGATATGAACAAGAATAAGTCCCCRTATGTTACCGCTCATGACAAATGTGACATTTGATACTTACTGTTCGTTGACACATGCAAGAACCCACATCGGGGTTCCTGGGTGTTCTATGGCACAAAAACACTCTTGGTTTACATGGGGTTTATTTAGAGATGTTTGATCATTTTATGAATACTRGTGACTAATAAATTATCCAGTGGCAGCAACATAATAGCACAGAATGCAACAATAGGCTACAGTTATGTAAATGAGTTGTGATTACATTTATGTGTGTAGTAATGTTTATGGTGATGTTGACTCGCTCCTGAAGTCCTGAAATATTCTTGCCGCTCACAGTCACACCAAATAACTTTCCTTCATACAGTTCTGAGCCCATCACAGTCTGCAAAAACAAAATACAGGCAGGTAGTTGGTTTGAAAGCTTAGTTATGGACATGTATTTTTCAGTAATCATRGAGACAGCCTGRYCCCCTCAGCTGGTCACCAMTGAAGTTAATTATCATAACACAGGCTGGAATTTCAGTTTGTTTGTCTTATACAGATAACTTTYATACTCTCATCATTTAAGGAGACAGCTGGCCTGACTGCAGCTCAACATRCATTTACAYAGTGATCCTGCTGATATAATAAWCTTTATTGATGASCAGCTGAGGGGACCGGGGCATTTTCATGGTTACCGAATGATACACAAGAGGAAAACTATAACTCATTATGTTGACTAAAAAAAATCAGGAAATTAATGATATCTTGAGAAAACACTCATCAATATTAAAACATGATATTTCGGTTTTCTCATGATAACAACATAATATGTGGTTATATCAAGAAAACCATGGAAAAATATATCGGCTTCTGTAATTATATAAATAAATACAGCTCTGGAAATAAATGAAGAGACCACTGCATAGTTTCCCTGTATTTAGTGGAAAGCATTCCACCAAATATTGATTTCTGAACCCTTCCTAAGGTAAAACATTAGTTTTGTTTCTAAATGAGTATTAACTTGTTTTCTGAGCATTATTTGAGGCCTGAAAACACTGCATCTTTGTCGTCACTTTGACCATTTATCATTTACTGCAAATAAATATAAAATTTTTGCTTGGAATTTCGGAGACATGTTGACAGTAGTTTATAAAATAAAAAAAAAACAATGTTCGTTTTTTTTACTCAAACATGTACCTATAAAGAGTAAAATCATAGAAACTGATCATTTTAAAGTGGTCTCTTATTTTTTTCCAGAGCTGTATATGAATTTTACCATCTAGATTAGGTCTTCAATGATGGGGTTTTGCCCCCTATGGGTCTGTGTAGGAACACCYCTCACTTTTGTTAACGGCTGTATGTCCAGTTTTTCTCCAGAGGATATCAAATTAACACTGTTGTACAAACTGAACAGACTACTTTACATTTTTTTCAAAGTGACAGTGTTATCCTTTGAAATGATATAYTGAAATACAAAAATGTAAGGGTGTACTCAGTTCTATGAACAGGCACTAAATATTGTCACATACTATGCACACCTAGTACACAGTCCCTCTCAACTTCCCCCTCTGGCAGGCACAGTAGTGCCCCACACACAAAAACAACAAGATACAGGAACAKTTTCTTTCCCCAGGCCATCTCACTGATGAACAGCTCCTAACTGGTTCCACTGTCTGACACTACASCCATACTAGTGCCCAGATTCATCCTAACCCTGGCTACACTGTTAAAATGTTTATTATATATTACCTGTATATTCTTTATATTGTATATTGTTTATTTTACATGCCATTGTGCTTCTGTCACTGCATATTGTATGCATATTAGAGAGACATCAACAGCCTAAAACAAATTCCTTGTGTGTGTCAGCATACTTTATTCTGATATATATATAATATAAGGGGGTCTTTTCTCCATCAAGTTGGTGTCTTAGACTGAAAAACATTGAAAATCCCTGATAGAATACTATGACTGCATCTCATAATATCATGACATTATSAATGTATGAGAGGTTGGGATTTACTGTATCTATGGTACAAAGATCCTTTAACTTCTCTAAATGTGAACTTATTAACATGTTTTATGTCACCGCAGGATATGTGTATTTTTTTGTTTGTTTATTTATACATTTATTTTACAAAAAACTGACAAGCTTCTTTATGCCATTGTTAAAAACCTCCACACACAACTGTGTTATGTACAGTATATAGGCTGAGTTTGCCTCACAGCAAAAAAAGGTTGCAGCCTATCTGTGGGACGTTTGCATGTTTATTTTTCCTCATAGTTTTTCCTGGTGCTATAACATTTAAAATAAAAGCCTTATTGTTAAACATTAAATAGAAAATTCCTTTGTAATCAGAAGACTTTTGGTGTCCCGCATCTACAAGTATATTAAATGCTAGCATTTGTTGTTTTTTTTCCACAAACATTTTTTATAAATACATTTTTATTTAATCATCCAGTCTATCAACAAATGATTCTTATCTTGCTTTTCAGCAAAACTTTAGGCACAAATAGTTGCAACAAAACCAGAYGTTAAAGTTTAATCAAGTCACAGCTGTTCTGAGAGTAAAACCAAACTTGTGAAGAACATCTGGGGTTTTGACTTGTGTGTGAAGTGAGGTCTCTGACCTTATTTGGAAAGTTAATCATGCAGAACACAACTGTGGTATTCTCTCTGACATCCAGCTCTTTAGGAAGGCAAACTTTCACTTTTCTGTTCGACACGTCCTCATGTGGTTTTACCTACACCAGAGTCACAAACACCAAGAAAAACACTGAATGAAGGTATAAACAGCAGTTATCAGCCTTGTTTGGATATTGAAGAAGGACTGGAAAGTAAGTCCTCAATCTGAAGGCTAGTGGTCAAATATTTAGCTTGTTATGATATAACTATTTGTTCCACTTTGTTTCTAACCCTGTTTGTGTGAGGTGGTTGTTAAATAACAAGATGAGCTGTTTTAGGCCTAATAATACCTTTTTAAATAGCAATTAATTCAATTGATACTGATGCAGGTTATTTAAAGTGTTCATTCTTAAAAACAAAGATAAATAACAATTAAAATTAATGGATAATATATCTGATCCTGAAGGTCTCTGGTCAAAGTAAAAATGTTTTACCTCATTGTAACTGGCATTAAATTTCAGACCACTGAAGGCACCTTTGGGTTTAAAAATGGCAGCCATAATATTTTTGGTTGAAAAAAATGTCGTCTCAGTCATGTTGGTTTCTTCCAAAATCTTTTTTATGTCCATAACTGACCTTGTAGAAAAGGATAANCTGACCTTATTTGGAAAGTTAATCATGCAGAACACAACTGTGGTATTCTCTCTGACATCCAGCTCTTTAGGAAGGCAAACTTTCACTTTTCTGTTTGACACGTCCTCATCTGGTTTTACCTACACCAGAGTCACAAACACCAAGACAAACACTGAATGAAGGTATATACAGCAGTTATCAGCCTTGTTTGGACATTGAAGAAGAACTGGAAAGTAAGTCCTCAATCTGAAGGCTAGTGGTCAAATATTTAGCTTGTTATGATATAACTATTTGTTGCACTTTGTTTCTAACCCTGTTTTTATGAAGTGGTTTTTAAATAACAAGATGAGCTGTTTGAGGCCTAATAATACCTTTTTAAATAGCAATKAATTCAATTGATACTGATGCAGGTTATTTAAAGTGTTCATTCTTGAAATAATATTGATAAATAACAATTATCTCTCTAAGTTAATTTCAAACAGATAAATTATTTGATCCTGAAGATCTCTGGTCAAAGTTAAAGTGTTTTACCTCTTTGTCATTGGCATTAAACTCCAGACCACTGAAGGCATCAGTGGGTTTATAAATGGCAGCCACAATGTTGTTGGTTGAAATAGATGTTGTCTCTGTAATGTTGGTTTCTTCCAAAATGTATTCTATGTCCATAATTGACCTTGTAGAAAATTATAAATATATAAATATAAACATAATTTTTAGACATTACCTGATTGATGATACAGTAATTCAGAATGTTTTTTTTCCCATCAATATAAAGGTTTACTTGGTAACGTCCTGTTCACTTCCATCATAAAAATGTTTGCCGTAGACTTCCATGCAGCAGCGGGTTTCTGGAATTSCTGTAAGTTTGAATATTTTATTTAWATAGATGCAGACATCAAATATAGAAAACCAGTTGTGWACAATGGAGGTCAAAATATTTTACAGATTTAGCAACTAACYWTTTYTTGTACAGTTTTTACACTGAGCTGKACATGAACATGGTGGTCCAGGAGTACGATCAGATCCTGTACGTTCATCCTCTGCAGCATTAAAGCKAAATCTTGAACTGTAATATAGTAACAGCCACCAGAGGAACCAGCATATCATCCTATGAAAAGTAGAAAAYTGGTTTAGCAAACATAATACCAAATGTTTAAAAAAAACCTCATCTACAACCATTCACTAGGATTTTAGTAGAAMGTAAATTGAAGTTGTTCTGGCGTTGTTTTGAAGAACAAATTAGTAAGACTTTTTTTATTTTTTATTATAGACTCACCTTTGTATCGAGCTGTTCCAAAAGGACATTTGTTTATACTGTACATTACGCAAATCTGCCTGAATTTCTAGTTAAATAAATAACAGATCATTTTTAGGTCTCACATGAGGCTCAACCCACTTAATTAAGTAAAGTGTTTAAACATAAAAGAGAATCATAACCTACCTTTGCATGGTGTTGAGTTCTCGTTATCCTATGCCATAACAAACACAAGCTATAACAAAACACAAACTAGTTTGGACAGATGTRTACAGGGAAACAGTTTTGAGGGAAATACATTTAAATGGAACATGTAAATCTTTTTTAAAGAGGAATACAGGAAGTGTAATGGCCCTTTAGTCATGACATGAGAAAGCATTCAGTGTGAAACATTTGATCTTTATCTCATTTACATTTTAAACAAAATATCACTGAAATGCAGTTCAAAATAACAAGTATCTAACCATGAAATTACCTTGGTAAAARTTAAAGTCTCCTTTGAATATTACTGGAGTAAAAGTCTTAAAGTATTTGATATTTTTTTTTGTATTTAAGTATCACAGAAAATTTCTGACATAAAATGTTCTGTTGTACTAGAAGAAAACTATTGAGTAAAAGTGAGTGTTATGTTGCATAAAATGTATGTGTTTCATTTACCGTTTCAGTGAGTCAGTGATTTCATTTAGAAGTTACATCRTTTGTACAGAAAATGGCAGTGTAGTGCCAGAAGCATTAAGTGTGGTTACCTGGCCTTCAGGTGAGAGGTCTACTTCAGGTCTTCTTCAGTCTACAATGCTGTTATTGCAAGTATGACTCAGCCCACTGTCAGCAAAAGGTGTGAATCAGGGCCCCAACGAYAGTCAGGTGATGGGGCACATGACCCTCTATGAACAATAGAGCTAATCAAAACTATTGTTAGGCAATGGCCCTCTTTTGCATGTGACTAACCTGTTTGTCCATGTTGAGGCAGTGCTTATAAGGCTGAGTTCACCTGAAACTCATCAGACTGAAGAAGTCTCTTGGAGGAGAGACGAAACGTTTCAATAAGGAGGAACCCATCCAGAGGACCTACTTATTTTTTTTCTTTTTGATACTTTGATTTTAGTGATCAGAAAATGCTCCCTTAACCCCCCCCCCCCCHCCCCCACTGGCTTAGTGGTACCTTATGGGGGTCTTTGTTAGGTGGTTTTTATGGGTGGCCTGGCTCTCTCCCCAAGAGGCAGCTGTGACTTTGACTTGCAATCTACCATAGCTCTGAGCTAAGACAGTTGGAGGATCAAGCACTTTCTGAGCAGCTGAACGACTTCACAACCACTCGTGGTTCCCGGACGTTTACGGTTTTCCTGACAACAGTGTCATTTTGCTAAAGCCAGCCAGCTTTCTCAGGCATATCTCAAAAAGTACCAAACAAATTTGTATGAAACTTTGAAGWAATRTTTATTACACCGCAGAGAACAGTCGATTAAATTTGAAACATCTTAGAGCACAAGAGGATGCATGGCTCCGATCGGGTGGTCATGCTGCAGGTGAAGCACTCCACACTGTGAGTTGGATAACATGCCACTTGGAGCTCTTCTCCAACATTCTTAGATGTTTACTCTCTTTCCTGGACAACAGAAGAGGGGACRGGAGGGCGGAGTAGGCTAACTTCTAACTTTTATTGCAGGGTTCCTTTGCGTGTAAAATATGAAAATAAAATAAAATAAATACACCTCGGATTTTGAYGAAACTTTCAGGAAAATTCCATCACTGACAGAACGGCTGATGGAAATTGGAGCTAAACAGAAAATGGCTGGTCTAATAGTTGGATTTTGGTTTCCTAAGATTTAATATATTTCCCTCTCCTGTCATCAAATAAATTGAACTAAAAACGTGAAAATTTCAGTAATTGTTTAACGCACCACATAGATCAGTTGAATAATGTTTGAAACATGTCTGAGCAGACCAGGAAAACTCTGCTGTCTATCTGTTAGCAACTGTTAGCAATGTCTGAGGTGAGCACCGGCTGCAACCTGGATCTTCATGCCACACAATGAGTGCTTACCCCGTTCAAAGTTGGACAGCAAGCCGGGCCAACCACTTCAGCTCCATGTTCCGGGGGAAGAACTAAACCCACTTTGCCTGATTGCTTATTATCAGGCATACAAATCATTGATAAGTGCCTTCCAACCTAGGAGGTAGAGGAGAGACAGTCTGGACACATTGGATGGGACTGATAAGCACTAGTAACATTCATTTAATGGACTGAGAACATTCGAAGCGGGTGCAAATTAATGCTTTTACGCCAACTGTGCGCTGACGACTTTATATTGTTTCAAAGTGACATGTCTTCAGTGCTGTCCCATGATATATYAAAACATTTACAAAAATGTGAGGGGTGTACTTCTTTTTGGGGAATATGTAATGGGTAAAGAAAATGATCACAGAATCTGCATACCGGGGAAAATGTCTCTTTCAATGTCCCCCTTTGGCAGGCACAGTAGTGCCCCACACACTAAAACAATAAGATACAGGAACATTTTCTTTCCCCAGGCCATCTCCATGATGAACAGCTCCTAACTGGTTCCACTGTCTGACACTACACTAGTGTCACATTACCTATATATTATCTATATTTTATATTGTTTATTTTTCATAGAATTGCGCTTTTGTATTGTATGTATATTAGAGGGACATCAACAGCCAGAAACACATTTCATGTGTGTGTCAACAAATAAAAAATAAAACTGATTCTGATATTGAGTAGCATGGGGTCCTTGCACCATCTCTTCATCAGGTTGGGGGTCTCAGACTGAAAAATGTTGAATGCCCCCTGATACTATTGAAAAGATATGCATGTTCAATTACTTTGTTACGTGTTCACAACCAAACAAAAAGTTCACCAATATTTAAATGTTTGTATGACTGCATCTCATAATATTGGGTCATTACAATTGTATGAAAAGTTGGGATTTCCTTTTCACGGTACAAAGACCGTTTGAAAAACATCTCTAAATGTGAACTAATTAACAAGTTTTATGTCACTGCAGGATACATTTTTTAACAATAACTGACAAGCCTTCCTGTTCTAAAAATATTTTGCRTTGTTAATGTGGCTCACAGTGACTTTTCTTCTTTATGTGATTGTTAAACAACTTCCACATTCAGCTGTGTTATTTTGCATGTCTGGCAGGGCAGGGCAGGGCACTGTTGGCCTCACAGCACAAAGGGCTGCAGTTTTTCTGTGGGAAGTTTGCACATTTATACTTCYTCATAGCTTAGCCTGGTGCTGGAATATTTAAAAGATATTCAGTGCCCCACATCCACAAGTAAATGCTAGCATTTMTTTTGAAAACCTTTTCCACAAACAGTTTTTACTCAAGAATACATTTTTATTCAAGCATCCAGTCTATCAACAAATGATTCATTTCTTGCTTTTCAGCTAATGCTTTAGGCATAAACTAATGCAAAAAAAAAAAAAAAACGGACGTTAAATTTTAATCAAGTTACAGCTGTTCTGAGAGTAAAACCAAACTTGTGTTCATTAGTGTGTTTGGGGTGAAGAATAACTAGGTTTTGACTTGTGTGTGAAGTGAAGTCTCTGACCTTATTTGGAAAGTTAATCATGCAGAACACAACTGTGGTATTCTCTCTGACATCCAGCTCTTTAGGAAGGCAAACTTTCACTTTTCTGTTTGACACGTCCTCATGTGGTTTTACCTACACCAGAGTCACAAACACCAAGAAAAACACTGAATGAAGGTATAAACAGCAGTTATCAGCCTTGTTTGGATATTGAAGAAGGACTGGAAAGTAAGTCCTCAATCTGAAGGCTAGTGGTCAAATATTTAGCTTGTTATGATATAACTATTTGTTCCACTTTGTTTCTAACCCTGTTTGTGTGAGGTGGTTGTTAAATAACAAGATGAGCTGTTTTAGGCCTAATAATACCTTTTTAAATAGCAATTAATTCAATTGATACTGATGCAGGTTATTTAAAGTGTTCATTCTTAAAAACAAAGATAAATAACAATTAAAATTAATGGATAATATATCTGATCCTGAAGGTCTCTGGTCAAAGTAAAAATGTTTTACCTCATTGTAACTGGCATTAAATTTCAGACCACTGAAGGCACCTTTGGGTTTAAAAATGGCAGCCATAATATTTTTGGTTGAAAAAAATGTCGTCTCAGTCATGTTGGTTTCTTCCAAAATCATTTTATGTCCATAACTGACCTTGTAGAAAAGGATAACAATATAAATAAGAACATTTTTTATCATGACCTGATAAGCATTTGTGATCCATAGTGGTGGTACTGCTGTACCAGGCTGTGATGCAGCTGGTCTCTACAGCACAGCTGTAAAAGTTCCTGAGGAACTTTGAAGACATGCCAGACTTCCTTAGTCTCCCCAGGAAGTAAAGTTGTTGTTGAGCCTTCTTGACCAGCGGTGTGGTGTTCTCAGTCCAGGTCAGGTTGTCAGTGAGGTGGACACCCAAGTATTTGAAGCTACTCACCATCTCAACCTCAAGGTCCTCAATGTGCAGTGGCTGGTGCAGCCTCCTTTCCTTTCTCATGTCCACTATCAACTCCTWTGTTTTATTGATGCTGAGGGTGATGTTGTTGTCCTCACACCAAGACACCAGGCCGGCTACATCCCTCCTGTAAGCTGTTTAATCATCCCCAGTGATGCGTCCTTTCACTGCCGTGTCATCAGCGAACTTCAGGATGATGTTGTTTTCGTGGGAGGCAGCGCAGTCATGGGTGAACAGAGTGTAGAGGATCGGGCTAAAAGACGCACCCCTGTGGGGTTCCAGTGTTTGTAATGGTCGTGGACGAGGTCCTGTTCCTGATCCTGACTGTCTGAGGCCTTCAAGTCAAAAAGTCTAGCAGCCAGACACAGAGGGCCAGTTGTATTTCTAGCATGTCCAGTTTGAGGATGAGTTTTTGTGGGATGATTGTGTTAAAGGCTGAGCTGTGGTGTGTAGTAATGTATTAGAAGTAAAATTATTTAATAAAAGTGAACAGTTAAATTTTCCAAAATGTAATTTATTGGGAGATGACTTCCCCAAAAGTACATTTTCTAAAGCTTATACTGACTATGTTATAATAAAATGCTAATGTTTATTTGGGATACATTAAGCTACCTGTTTCAGCTGTGTCATGTGAAGGTGTGATGGATCATTCAAACTAATTGGGTGCCAGAATGGTATATATTCATAATTTTCATCCAGCCACTAGTAAATTCACTTTATCTGGAAGGTACAATACATTAGGATAGTTTTTACTTTTTGAACAATAAGAAGCCAGAATAAAAACAAGCCAACACAAAATAGGAGTAAATGTAAGAATTAGATAATTGCATGAGGATATAAGGAGTGGATGTATAAATTTGTCTGAAAAATAATTCCTCCAAAAAGATTAGATAATCAAAATTTTCACAAAAGTAAAGTAACTACATACAGTATTTGTAAGTTACTTTACACCTCTGCTGAAAAGATTTCAAAATACTGTACTTGTTTGAAATTCTAAAGCAGTAATGAAACATGTAGATGTGGTTCCTCTGCCGCTAAACCTTCTTGCCATGACATTGAAATGCATGCACAAATGTATTTGTTATGAAACTACATTGTAAGAGCATGGTAAAGTAAAACAACAGATTAAAAGCGCCATATACAATTGATGCACAAAGTCCTTGTTAAATTAAAAATATCTCTTTTCTCCTCATGTTAGGCTTTGTCAGATCCAAGCTGCTGAAGAACTCCTTCGACTTTACTGCTCCATCTGTAGAGCCATGGAACAAATGTACACACACCTGAAGTTGTGTGTAAGTTTGTTAGATTAAGCTCTGAGTGTTTAAGGAGACCAGTAAAAAAAACAACAAAAAAAAAAAACAAACAAGTGATTAGAGATTCATTTAAAGTTGGTGAGGTCAAACCTTGTCTCAAACKGTGAAGCACATAAGGTTTTCTGAAACAGTTGTCACTCTAAGCATGGCTTTTCAGCAGACATTAGAGTGACATGTTTTAGGTGTGGAAAAATGTGAACCTAAGTGAGCTACAAACAAGATTTTCTTTTACTAAAAAAAGATCAAGTGTCTGTAATAAAATCCATTTGATGGTTAGAKATATCACTGTTATCTAGAAAATATTCAACGTGTATGAAGCTGTTGCTTTAGAGATTTTTATTGTGAGAAAAAAAGGTTTTATATATTAACAGAGATAGTTTTTGTATAAAGCAAAATGTATAGAATTGCTAACTGKTCAGTTTAAAAGTTGTAAAATTACAGATGTTAAAGTAATAGAAACATTTCTACAACCAAAATTATACAAATAACAACAAACAACATCCTGCCCCCTGCCCTTTGACTGCTGGTGAAAGACCCCAACTCTCTCTGCTTTTCTGTAGAAATAAGAAAGTATTAATAAAAGTGTAACATGCGTAGGTTGGAACTATGCAGATCGACTGTTTCTTAGATTTAGAAAAGTTCAACGGACTGTGTGAAATCAGGTTCTGCTGGACATAGTTCCATTGCTCTGCCTTGAGTCTTTTGGCTTTTTCAGAGACAGTATGAAGTAAATGAAAAAGACCAAACCTGCAAATGACAAGAGGAAAAAAAAGTCATCAGAGAAGAACTTAGTTGTTTACATTTTAGGCTTTGTTGTTAGTTGTACATTTCACGTCAAACATCTTTATGACTGTTTTTGGTCTAAATAATTTAAACTGAAGACACTGTGTTCAACAAGAACACTRACAGATGGATTCAAAGGATTTCAGCATGGAGTCAGCTTTGAGCTCCTTCTTATTTGCAATCACAATGGACATGTTTACATATGAAGTCAAGCAGGAGTCCTTAACAACTATGGTGTTTGCAGATAGCACTGTGAACTGAGAGTAAGGATTAGGAGGAATAAATGCTCTGGGGGTGGGGGGGGGCAGTAGAATCAAGAGATAATTTGAGTGTGAATGTGAATGACAGCCTTTCATTTTCACGGTAAAAAGCAGGGCAGTGTGTGCATGTTGCATTGTGTGTGTGTTGACCTGGGACAGATGCATTTGTTCAGTGAATCATACACATCTTGCTCATTTGACATTTTGTTGATCGAGACCTGACTGTTAGGTATGATATTTTAATAGTATGTATGAGCAAATATAGTCTTGTGAGTGTGTGTGACAGAGTCTATAGTAGTGTGTGAGAGAGAAAAGACAGTTAACGTCCATAGTTAGGTGCACAGTGCACACGTGTGGCCTGTATATTTTGTGTGGGCTCGTTGCAGTGTGCTGGTTTTGTGCGCCACACGCATCATGCACGTTGGGGTTGTGGTGTGGTGATTGTTCATATCCTCCAATGCAGTCCTGCAGGTGCCCCACGTCAACACTATGGG